GGAACACTGTGTCTCCCTCTGGTGACCACTGCTGGTGGCCACAAAGGTCTCCTGCTTAGGGAGCATCACCTGCCACCAGGTGGTGCTGAGGGAGCCAAAGTCAGCTTTGAGCCTCCGCTCACCTGGGTGGGGTCTTGGGGTGGTGGTGGAGGCTCCCGCTACATTGCTACATCGTCGAGGGAACTAGGGCACATCTGCTCCAATGTCTGCTGCTGGCAGAAGCAGGAAGTGGGGCCCAGAGAGGAGGGCTGAGTTCAAGGTTACTTCAAGGAGCAATGAGAGAGCACAGGGCCCAGCATGGAGCCAGGCCAGGCAAGGCCGTGCCCTGTGGACTAGTCAAGGAGGCAGAAGATATGTGAGAGGCTCAGAATGAGGCAGGCTTGGAGCAGGGACATTTCCACGGCATGGAGATGGCCAGGCTGGATTGGCCCAGAGTAAATAGGGAGATTGGTTGCCTTTGGGGAGGGCAACGAAGGAACAAAGGCTTCCGTTCACAAGGATAGTCTCCCTTCTCAAGGCCTTGCTGGTCTCCTTTGCCCAAGGGAGCAGCTCTCCCATGTTACAGACAGTCAGGGCACAGGGACATGAAGTGACAGAAGTGGGCAGGTGCAGCAGACACCCCTCTGTGCCAGCCCGGGAGGGTGGCCTTGGCCTGGGGAGTCTGACCTCCTGGGCTGGGCTGCACTCCTTCAGCTGTGTGCCTCAGGTGAAGCCCCCATGGCCATCCTCTCCATGTGCACATGGGGCCCTCTCAGGGGCAGTCGCACTGCCACCCCTCAGAATGGCTTAAACAGGACAAGGACAGCTAGTGACTTAAAGAGACCTTGGGGTCCAGGAGCCTTGTAGACTCAGGAAAGGAAAAGGCAAGCTTGGGCTTGGGGGTGGGGCAGGGACGAGGGGATGGGAGGAGGGAAGGGAGAGGCTTTCAAAGAGAGAATGAAAGAAATGAGTTATTCCAGTGTGGGGAGCTTAGAAAAGTCCACTGAATCTTTTAACAACCCTGTCAATTATTCATTTTCTAGTGTGCGGGGCCCCTCTGGTTGGCCTCAGAGCTGCTGTGAGCAGGGCAGACGGAGGGAGGGAAGCAGAAAGAGAGAGAGGGAGAGGGAGGGAGAGAGAGAGGGAGAGGGAGGGAGAGAGAGAGAGAGAGGGAGGGAGAGAGTGTGGGGTAATATCAGAAAGAAATGGGAATATACAAAGACAATGGCATGCATGTGTGTATGTGTGTGTGTGTGTGTGTGTGTGTGTGTGTGTGTGTGTGTGTGTGTGTGTGTGTGTGTCAGGGCAGGGAGAAAGAGAGAGGGCAAGTGAGAAATGGTGGGGTGGAGGGCAGTGGAGGGCAGTGGAAGGGAACACCTCTGCTTCAACCTCTGGGTGGAAAACACACTGAATACCTTGTCTAAAGCCTGGTCCTCCCCCTTCAGGAAGCCTTCCTAGGTCCTCTCTCCCCCCCCTCATAGAGGAAGGTCCTTTGTCTGGATCATGTCCCCCTGCTTGGCCATCTCTAACATGTTCATGCTTGTCTGCTCTGTGAGGCTGATGGTCTGTGGCTGTTCCTTTGTGAGGGGGATCTCCAGTTTTCGGGCCTCAGTCTCCTCTCTTGCCCCCATGTCCTCACTGGGTGTAGGACGGGGCACTCGCTAGACTGATTCATCCTGACTAGTTGGAGATGTCTCATGGGTCTTTGTGAGTGGAACTCCGCCCCGCTGGAGACTGAACAGACCCCTTCAGCTTACCCACTGTGGTGGTGGCATCAGGGACACTGGCTAGCTAGAGTGAGGTGGCTCAGCTGTCTACGGGATAAGGACAAGACGCTGGCAAAGTGGGTCTTGGGAGAACCGTCCCTTTCAGAATGATCCAGGAGCTCAACATTTCCAAAGACATGTATGTTCTGGGCTGCTCATCATGCAATCGCTTCCCTTAGCTCTGCCACGGGTCCTCCCCTCGATCTCAGTGGTCCCACCCAGCACTGAGCTTCCTCCTGCCCTGAGAAAATGGTCCCTGGAATGACTGCGTTAGAGCTGGGTGTCTGGGGATGGGAAGAAATGGCTGGGCTTGGTAGGAGTCCCAGCTGGGGTCTGTGCGCTGTGAGGGGCAGGGAGCATTGCACACGAGACCACAGACCACATCCCCTCTACCTGCCCCTCTGTCCCCGAGGAGCATCTTCCCAGAGAATGTTCAATTTTCAATGCTCCCAAGTAGACTCGGGAGAGAGCCAGAGATAAAATGGATTTGAGGCTCTGGGGAACGCTTGGCGACACTAGACAGAGACCGAGGCGCCACGGAAGTCAGGTGATGCAGAGAGGCTCAGCCGAGGCCACAGAAGAGAGCAGAGGGGGCCACTCATTCATCCTCGGGACACCGGGACACCGCACAACAACTGCTGTGGCCCAAGGCACCCTGCCTCACTCACAGGCTCTGCTGATGACGCTCTCTCCGGTACAAGTCCCGAGTCACATACCCCATGATTCTGTCACTGCTGCTCGGGTGCCTCGGGGCTCCTCAGGTATCTGCTGCTATAAGTCTGCGCCTTGACCCTCAGGTGCTGTGCCTGTGCTATGTCCCACAACCATGCCTCCCTGCCCTAGAGTGCTGGGTGACATCATCGCACATCAGCGTCTATTGCTATGCAGCCACGCTCCTGGGCTCCATGGCTGTGCTCTGTTGCTTGCCACCGCGTGCGTGCGTCTCCTGGTTGCATGAGTTCATCTCCTGCTATGTAATTTTCTTTGGTTGCCATGGAACAGTGACCCATGGCTGCACAGCTGCCTGTGATTGGCATGGAACTGTAGACTGTTGCTACCCAACCGCATTCTGTTACTTGCAACGGGGTTTCTCTCGGCCACGGGAAGGTGTATGGCTGGGTCCCGCTGCCCTCATCTTTCTGAGCTCTGGCCTGTCGGTTTGTAGGATAGCAGCTAGGATAAAGGGATGGTGTGGGGCCTGGGAGAGAGCAGGGGCATCGCGAGAGTCCTTGTGCTGTGCTGGAGGGCCGACTCAGCACGGGAAGATAAAGGCTGAGGCCAAGAGTCACGAAGGAGGGTTCAAGGTTAGCATGGGTCTGGAGTCGCCTGCAAAGGGCAGGAAAGAGGGCCCGAGCAGCAGCCTTTTACAGGGCATGGAAGGTGGGTTAGCTCACCACAGGCCTCTGTAGCTACCCAGAATTTTCTGGATGCTCCCTCCATAGCATGGACTGACAAGGCCAGGGAGCCTTGGGAAGGTATCATATTACTTCTGGACCAGGTCATAGCCACCGTGGGTAAAATGAAAACAGGTCACAAATGGTGGTTAATCTTGATTAGAATTTTTTTTCCTAATGGCTGATCTTAACTTCTCAGGCTGTGTCTAATCCCTCTTCTTTGGTGGAATCCTTAAGAAAAAGTCAAAACTAACTGGCTGTCTCTCCGTGTGATACCATCCTTCCTGACATTTAAAGTCAGGTCCTCAAATGTCCACCCATCAGATCCATCCTACCCTGAAAGGCCCTTTTCCTCCTTCTCTCCCATTCATTATTATTCTCAATCAATTTCATAGATGCAATGAGCCTCCAGTCCGGCCATCCCACCCCCTTTTATGTCTCCCACCACAGACAAATGCACAGCATTAAGTTACGTGTGTTTACCATTGCATATGGGTCTGGCTCTCAGACTTGCTGCCCTCAGCTCAGATCTTACCAGAGAACCCCTGCCATTCCCAGCATTCCCAGTGGGGTGGGGCTGGCACTGCTAACTCCGTGCTCGCACTATGTCCAGGATGTTCAGGTAGGGTCTGCATCTCTGCTGTCAGAGGTAGTGTGACTAAGGGTGAACTCTGCCCTTTGGGGTTGGGTAGGGCTGAGGCTTGGCTGACTCACCCCAAGGCAGTGGGGCGTGGGGGCCGGGAACTCACTGACCTCTTTGGTGGTAACCAGGGAGGACCACCTTTCACCTTCTCCTTCCTTCCCATCTGCCCTTTCCTGTAGTGGCCCCTTCACTTTTACTCACTGCCCTGGCTTTTTAAAACCAACTTCCTTTACTGGTTTTGGGTCAGGTTGTGTGGGTTGACAAGAATTAGTTTACTGCTGTCCCGAATCTCCCAGGCCAAGAGATCTGTACCTTTATTTTCAATGCAATTGATGTTTGGGCTAGAGGTTGCTCCTGAGTCCTGCTTCTCCACAGGGCAAAGGTGGACTGTGCAGACTAGAAATATTTCTGAGAGCTGTTACTTGGACAGGAAGGCTCCACTCTTGGGGAGGGTGCTCCAGGTGGGGACCTCTTGGGTACACTCAGCAGGCAGCAGCCTCTCCTATTGTCTGATGGGACATGTTTCAGAAAGGTGCCAAGTGCCAAGGGTGGCCGAGGAGATTGCCAGTAGAGAAGGGCAAGTCCTCAGGAGGAGACCTGAGGATTAGGTTGGTGGCTTTGCCTGGAACCTTTCTTTGGGATCTTTGGAGCATTTGCTCATGGGATCCACTGTGGAGGGCTGTAGGAAGCCACATTAAGGAATCTCTCATGGTCACTGACTGGGGTGGTGATGCCTCCACTTGGGACTTCAGAGGGATTGTCTTTTGAGTATATACTCTTTTGCTGTCTGTACCAAGAGGCTGAGACTCAGAAGAGATCCATCCTGAGGCCAGGTACCAGCATCAAAGACAGGTACTGTGCCTGAAAATAGTGTTGTTTGTTTTTTTTTTTTTTTTAAAGTGCATCTCAACTACCCCCTTTATAAGTTACAGCTAGTTTCTTGGGGGCTTTCCACAGCCTGGGAGACATACTCTGAGCTGGACATGGCTGAGCAAGCATTACAGGAATTCTCATAAATCCCATGAGAGACCAAAGGTGAAGAAAATGTGAAAGGGAGTCACACCTTCCTCCCCCCAGCTTGTCTTTGGGGGTAACTCACATGCCGAGTGTGCCAAAGGAGTGGTCCACTTGCCACCTGGGGGGTGATCTCAGGGGTGGCTCCTCCCCTATGGCCCCAGCACAGTACAAGTCCTCCCGGTCCTAGGGAGAGGCACTCACCATGTCACGCAATGTCTGAGGCTCCTCGGCTTCCTGAGAGGGGTCTGAGGAGCTCATGGACCAGGACTCACGGATGGCACCCAGATTCTCATCTAGGATCTTGGGGTTCAGAGTGGGCAGAGCCTTGCTCTTGTTTGGTGTCAAGAAGTTTTCTGGCCTCTAAAAAATAAAATGGAGACTTTGAAGCGGCCCTTCCATGGTGCCTGCTATACTCCGAGCTTCCTGGCATGGCCCTGCACACCTGCCCTCTGTACGCTCCCTGCCACCCGCCCCTTGCTTACTGAGTCCCAGACGAAGTGTCCTGCAGCTCCTCCAACAAGCGAAGTGATTCCCTGCCTCAGGACCTTTGCATCTGCTTCCTTCTCTCCCCAGGGATCCTTACACACTTGCCCCTCACCATCATTTGGGTCTGGCCCATGTCTAATCTTTTTGGAGAAGCCTTGCCCTTTGACACAGAGACCACACTCCCACTCCAAAGTAACCCCACCATTCATAGCATACCGTTTTACAGTGTTCACAGTAACCACTCTATGAAAACACCTTTCAGACAGTGGGTTTGCTTATTGACTCTCTCTGCCTTCTCCCAGTGTTCACACCAAGACTGAAGTTTCACGTTAGCAAGGGCGCTATTATCTCCAGCGTCTTTCTCACTGTAGCTGCTCAACAAACGTTCTTAGGTGCTCAGTGAGTACGCCACCAGTGGCCTCCATACCCAGGATAGTGATGACTTCTAAAATGCCCCACTCTTTTCTCCCCCTTCCCATCTCACCTCTACCATCACTCAGTTTGATCACCCCCTTAGAGTGACTCTCTGTGCACTTTGGTGAACCCTTCTTCTTCATGACCCTCTCTGGTCTCCCTCCTCCTCCCTTGGGAAGCCCTGTGCCTCTGTCCTCTCTTGGTCAAGGGTTTCCTGGGTTTTTCTAGCCCAGCGTTGGCTACCTGTACTTTCACATTGCTCTGAGGTTCTAGGCTAGTTTGCTATTTTTGTTTTTCCTAATAAAACTTTATCTTCCTTGGACTTAGGGACATGTGTCAGCGGTCTTTTTGTGGGGGTGGTCACTTTAAAACTTGTTTGGGGGCTGGTGAAATGGCTCCAGAGGTAAAGGAGCTTGCTGCGAAGTCTGAGGATGTGAGTTTGATCCCTGGGACCCAGGCAGTGGGAGGAGAGGGTCATCTCCTGCATGTTGTTCCCTCACCTCCACACATGCACCATGGCACGTGTTGACATGTACACACATACACAAAGTAGATGAAAGTGTACTAATTGTTTTTAATCAAGGAGAAGTTATTTGAAACCCATTGTTAGCTCTACCAGTTCTACAGTTAGTTCTGCAGTCTCCTGGTTTTCAGAGGCCTCAAATGTGATGCAATCTCACCCCGCATTAGCTGTTGGAATCCTCACTCGGCCTCAGTGCGGACTTATTTATTCACTGGATGGTGTCTTGCTAGAAGCAAACAGAGCCATGGGCACAATGCCAAACAGGAGGGATGTGCTGGGGCTCCGGGTGCCCCAGTGTCTGACAACTGGAGTGAGGCGGGTGACTGCATACCTCACTTAGTGGACACTACATGGAAGCCTACACACCCGGACTATGTCAATGGAAGACTCTGCTCTCGAACATTGAGGTGTTTGCAATGATTTCTTTATGTGCCATACAATTTGGGGTTCAGAAATGCATTATAACACAGGGCTTCTACATGCTATGTCAGCAGAGTTAGGGGTCACTCACTCACACGTGGACTCACTCACCTGGGGCATTCTAGGCCCCAATCCCTCTCTTTTGAATGGGTATAAAATAGATAATTCCTAAGAGAAACATCTATAAATGCTCTTGGCATGGAAGAGGGATGCATTTGGTAACCTGAGGCTGACTTCAGCAGGCCATTTACATCTGTGAACATCGGTCCAGCTTCCTGCCTCATCTTCTCCTGTTTGAAGAAGGGCGGGATTCACTTCGATGTTTCCCAAATGATACCGAGTCTTCTATGCCCTGGAAGTGCCCAGTGCAGCATCCCACTCAGAGTTTGGGGTTTTCTAAGTGAGTGTTCAGATAAGTACCACATCTGTCTCCTACTCAGAAGTTTTGAACACTTGGGGATGGGAAGTTGATTCAGAGGTTAAGAGCACTGGCTGTTCTTCCAGAGGGTATAGGTTCTATTCCTGACTCCCAGCAACCACGATCTGTTGACAGCCCTCTTCAAACTTCTATGGATACTAGGCATGCATGTGGTACATAGGAATATATGCAGGCAAAATATTCATATACATAAAAAATCTTTTTAAAAATGCTGAACATCAGACTGGCTTCAGAGGGACAGCTATGAAATGCTTATTGGGCAAAATGACGGGTGGGTGGCAGAAAAATAAGGAATAACCAGCCAGGGCAAAAACCACCTCTCTAGTGACCAGGTGGGTCCAAGCTCGGGTGAGATGCTGATTCAGGACCGGTAATGACATTTCTCCTCATTTCCAGGCAGAAAGCCAATCTCAATGCCCTGGATTTCATAGACTGCCATCTAATCCAGTTAGAGGAGGAAGTAGGAGTAATGAAATCAAAAGAGGTCTCCAGAGGTGGCCCAGTCATTACAGAAAGCAGGGACAATTGCCGAGGGAGTCACCTCCCCCACTGCCTGTCTCCTGGCTGTCCACCCTGTATGGTCCCAGGACCAGCTAGGCCAAGTCAGTGATGTGGAACTGATGTTTTTGGGTCAGAGTTACACACTCACCAGATATTTTTAGGCAGTTTCTGATACTACGTATAAATTCATTTAATTTCATAACAGATAAATTAAAAATGAGACTCTCAGTCCAGAACAGTGAATTCATCTCACCAGTCTCTGCTGGGCAGGGGAGTATCCCAAGGAGGAGGAGGGAAAGCAGGCAGAGTGGGAGGGGGTAGGAGAGAGCCAAGCCTCATGGATGAACTGCCTATTCAGGCCTTGCTTGGCTCTGCTAACCCCATTCTTTTCTGTCTGCTCACCCCACAAGCTTGTTTATTTGCTTTTCTATTTGGCAGGTCTGCTGGGGCAGCATGGGGCTGACAAGTGGCCCCTCAGTCTGTAGCTCCGTGGTGGCAGCAGATCCTGCTTCATTAGGACCGTAATTGGGGACTGACTTTGAAAGCTCAAAGAGATGCATGGCCATGCACCAGCTCAGACACAGCACCCAACCCAGCCCCTGCGCTGTGCCGGTGGCGGCTGCACACCACGTGAGAAAACATGGTGGGAGGAGATGTCCAGCAGGCGCTCTTACCAGCAGAGTGGGGTCTGTCGAGACAGGCTGGGCCAATGGCATTCCAAGCTGGCTGCATTTGAGGTCACCTGCCTCCCCTCCCTACCCTCAACACCTCTGCTGCCCTCCTCCCTACTCCATCCCCTAGATCCCTGGTCATGCAAAATGCAACAGCTCCTGCTTGCCCTGGCAATTACAAAGCAAGCGGGCTGCAGCTGCTGTCCCTGGTGCTGAAAGCGCCCGCCTTCCGGCCAGCCCGCCTGCCTCTCGCCCCGCCTTGAGCTTTCTTGGAGGGGGACACAGGCTCTTAATTCAATTAGCTGGCCCTGAACCCTCCCCAGGGAGCCTGGAGCGGAAACTGACAAATTCTGTTTAACAAAGACATTTGTCCCCCGCCCCGCCAGGCGTAGGGCTCTGCTCTCCTGTATCCCGCTCATTAGGTATCTAACAAAGTGCGTCCCAAGAAATCTGCTTCCCATCGCTAGTAATTCAGGAGGCCTGATACAATTTTCTCCCTGATAAGGGTGGCTCACCCGCTGGCAAGCACCATAATGAGCCCTGTGCAGTGGCTCCCTGATCAGTCACTGCTTTGCCATTTCCTGTGGGCTGCAGTTGTAGGTTCTTATCTCTGCAGCTGTAGGCGAGGCTCAGACAGCGGGCCCTTCAAGAGGGCTTGCCTCCCATGCATATGGCCAGCCTCATTTATGGCATCCTGAGGGCTGTGGCAGCTGTGGCAGGTTTGAGCATCTAGGTCGCTCTCCCAGCCAAAAAGGGCCCACGTGTTAATACTCAACGGATCCATGCTATATCCCTCAGAAAATGGTGTCAACACCCCCGAAAAGCAAGGGGGCAAGAATGGGGGTGGTAAAGATTTTATTATTATTATTATTATTTAATTCTGTTGGGCTGTTAGGATTAAATAGGGCCCCGCCTGTGGCTTAGTGGGTTGGCTGTGGGTTCATTCACTCTTACAGGCCAGAAATTTTTTTTTTTTTTTTTAACCTACATTTCATCAGCCCCTGTTCACATCTGGACAGAGTCACACACTACTGCTGCTCAAGAATTTTCTGTAGTTGTCCACCACTTTTTGGCCAAGTCCAAACCTTGTGTCCTGGCACCCACCCTGTCCTTCCACAATCTGGGCCCCCCGTTACAAGTCCAGGGTCACTGTTACGACAGCATCCTTACGTCCCACAAGCCTTCATGTCAATGCACATACTGGTCTCTGATACACCTCTGCTTTCCCAATTTCCAAGCCACTATCTGAAGTAGGACTCAAACCATGCCCCTGGGTGACACTTCCCCTAGCCCTGTATTCTCAGTGTAGCGTCTCATGCTGGATGCTCAGGTGATGATAGTCTGTTGGAGTGCTTTATTGCTAGGTACAGGTCAGGGCCCAAATAAGTAGGACCCTAGTGAAATTACACATGTGTGATCTCACCTGGGCCAGGGATCCATCTGGCTTGGCTGGAAGACTAGGCTAGTGCGGTCCGGTCTTGAGTTGGGGAGAATCCCTAGGCCAGCTCTCACTTTCTTAGAAGTTTTTCTAGAAGCCTCCACTCTCTCTATGTCTTCCTCTCATGTCTTCGACCAACAATTTATGCATTGAGCTTGTAAGGAAAGCAGCAAAGAGGATATTCCAAGCCTCCAGGTTCCTGATGCCTGCCCAGCATCCTGACTTAGGACATTATTTCTTGAGAGGTATTTCAGGCTCATGTTCTCAAGGCAACAACAGCCCCAAGGCTGGTGATAAATTTGAGATGAGTCTGTATCAGGCCTCCTGAATTGCTTATACCAGAAGCAGCCTGGATCTTGGTCTCAGACCCAGAAGCAGGTCTTTATGTATCCATTTTTTCCATAGCCCCAAATGCAGTCAGGGAAATTCAGCAAATTTGACCTGATTTGATTTGACCTAAAAGATTAT